AGAAACAAACTAATTTGTTAATGACATAGCGTGCGGAACGAAATTTTCAGAAACTTCTGTTTTTAAAAATAAGTATTTTTAGCGTTTTTATAAAGCAACAAAATTTTGCATGATCAACTGCTCAACTCTAGCTACAGATTTTAATTACATCGTAATATCTTGACTAAATGAATAATGTTGCTATGTTATTGTTCCGAATTTTGAAGAAAATGACGGATTATTTGTGTTCGGGGTTTTTTCTCAAATTTTGTTTTAACTAGCATTTTTGAAGGAGTTGTTAATACCGTACGAAAGCTTTTGTTGTTTCGATCTCAAACTATTAAAGATATTTTACCTGTGATCATTTTTCGTAAAGTTATAGGAGTTCAAAAATTTCCATTTTGTAACAATGCAATAGCCGCTACTTGCTCACAACTGCCTACTCTCACTAATAATAAGTTCTTAATGGAGTTTCATTTGACTTTTCCATCAACATTTTTGGAAAGTTTTTTTTGTAAACTGCCGTTGGATTATTCCGTGGTGGTTGCACAGCAATCCGGTTTTGTTAAGATTGCTAATTAGTATTGATCTTCAAAAGGTCAAATTGTTAAATGTTTTTGCGCAATTTTTTATAAATCACTGTTTTCGTGTGCGATAGGGGCCTTCCCTGCTAAAGATGTACGCGAGGGGCCTCTCTCGACTCAATTTTTTCTTTCTCAACATTGCAGTTCCTCTCTCATAGCCATGATAAAAACTGATTTTTATTTTCAGACGGATATAAGCCATGTAGGGGCGAGATTAATTAGAATGGAATAGGGCGTATGTGTTGTTATTGTTCAAATTCTTCATTTTTCTAAATTTCTGCTGGCTGGAAACGTTTTATTTCTGATAAATGTATGAAGAAACCACCCCTTCCAACTAAAGCGTAGCTGAGATCATAATTTTTAATTTGATGCATTTACTTATGATAAGCTCATGACAGTCTGTGATGTGTTCAGAATGCATTGAGCTTTCTGGAGCAAAAATGATTCCTAAATCAAAGTAGACGATTTTTCTAGTTTTAAGACTCATATACTTCCTATGATTTGCATTAACATCTTTTTAACGACCAAATACGCTTCCATTTGTAAAAAGACTTCATGCTTTTCGAAAGTCGAGTTATTTTTTTTACATTTTAGAACTTACAGCTCAAAAATTTTAAATAATGAGTTATTATAAATGTCACATTGTATATTTCAATTTCATTTTTTTTTTAGTTTTTTTAATTGCATAAAACTGCAGTTCTTGTTTTTTGAACTCCGCGACCACAAATAATAGTCGTATTTTTGGGATCTTGTATTTTTGAATAATTTTAACCAAAATAATTATTTGAATAATTTCGAATAATTTTAACCAAATAATAGTCGTATTTTTGGGATCTTGTATTTTTGAATAATTTTAACCAAAACAATTAAACAATTTCCTTTAAGTTAAATTAAGAATCTTGTGTAGCTCGTAAGAATCTCGTGTGCGGGATTTGCAAATAGCAATTCGCGCATACCGACTATTATCCAAGACTCGGTTTGTTTTCTGTATTATCTGGAATTCATAAATACCTTGAGCTAATAACTGAAAAGATATTTTATGGGGCCTAGGAAATTAGACGAAAAGCAAATTAGACGTGACCAACAAAAACGAATTTAGACGTCGATGCAAAATTACAAATAAGGGAAATTAGACGTAATTGTTTTGTTCGTGTCTGAAATTTGTTTACCGACTACAATTAACTTTCGTTTGAGCTTTCTTAAATGCAAATCAACTTTTCACCTTTCGCAATTTTCACATTCCGCATTTTTCACATGCCGCATTTGTATCATTTATGCATTTCAAAAATGTTTTATAATCTTGAAATTAACATTTTATAAATCAATTGTGATAAATATTTTGATATGCAATGGGATCATACACTATTTTTGTAAATATGAAAATTTGTTTTGGGCAATAAGTTTTGGTAGCCCTTTGCTTTCCGTCTAAAATGCTAGTTTTGCAAAAACAATTTAACGTCTAAATTTGTTTTTGTTGGTCACGTCTAATTTGCTTATCGTCTAATTTCCTAACCCCCATATTTTATCTGCGGTTGCTTTTAGTAAAGTTTTGAATGTTACAAAATTGCCAATTAGGTATGTTAAAAGCTGAATTTCTCAACTATGAAACGCATTAGCGGCAAACTCAAATGCACATAACTAAATCCAATTTGTTAATGACATAGCGTTCGGGGCGAAGTTTTCAGAAAGCTTGAAACGTTACTTTTTAAGCTTCTAAGTAATCATTTAATTTCAAAGAATTGAATGATTACATGCAGGTGAAAAAAATTAGGTGAAAGTAAAATTTGACAAACAATGATTTCTCAGAAATTGGAAAATAAGTTCGTGTTGCTTCAATCGGTCTGAATAAACGTTCTTGTTGGCTCAAACGAGGGCTCTCTGCGAACGTTTCTTTAATGATTTAATCAATTTCGTTAAAGCATTTATCTTGAAAACAATTTAATGATGTTTATTATTATAAATGTTAGGTTTTTGATTGATTTGATTTCAGTTTTTCGGTGGCGTGATGAGTCTCATTCTATTGTTCCGTTGCTTAAAATTTGTAACTTGACTCCCGCGCCCACGAATCTGAATTTCTGTTTAAAAAAATTAGTATTTTCAGCGTTTTCATTAAGCAAAATTTTGCACGATCAACTGCAAAAACGATAGAAAAAGGTGACGTAATGTTTGTACTCGGGGTGTTTTTTTTTCTTCAGCTAAATTTTATTTTTTTTCACAGAGTTGTTAACCATTCAAAAGCTGCTTTTTGTAAATTAAAATTAAACATATTTTTTACCAGATTTTTTTAATCATTTTTGAATTTGGGTCAATAAACGCGAGATTTTTTTCGTGATCTTTTGGCATAAGCGGAGATTTAGTCTCTCAAAGAAATTGTTTCGAATTGAATTGAGGCTTGCTATGTGGTGTTTTTAATACTTTTATCTATGCGAATTATATCATTTTTTACTTTTTCGTTTTTTATTTTCGTTAATTTTTAAATTATTTTTTTTTAAAGAACTATACCCCCATAGACCTTCAAAAAGCAGTCGTAACATTCGAGTTGCCCATGATACGAGCAGGTTTGTTTAGATATGCATGTAATTTACACATGTTATTTTTTCAAGCAAGTTTTCACCACTTCAATGATAGTTCCGGACTGCTAAATTCATCCAAAAGCCTATCATCCAAAAGCCTTATATGAAAGCCTTTTCACTGGTGATTCGGTTGTTGAAAAAGTAATTCAAAATACTTAAAATTTTGCCGAAAAAAAAGTTGAATTGAAAGTATTTGCCTTTCAGACTGATTTGACAATTTCTTTATCCCTAACTGACTTTAACATAAAATTTACTTCGCTTCATCTCTTTTCATCCATTTTAAGTTGAGTTTCAAGCCCTTACTGCTGCCCATCAAAATTGTAGAAAATTTGATTGAATATTTAAAAGTTTTTTTTGTTAGAAAAACTGAATTATCATAATTTTAAGCAGTAACTACGATGGTCGGAACATTCGGTCGTACTTGCTCACAACAGGATAGTTAATAATAAGTTCTTGATGTAGTTTCAGTTGACTTATGCCTCAACATTTTCTTAAAGTTTTTTTAACTGCCGTTGGATCATTCTGCGGTGATTGCTTAACCATCCTGTACTATTAAGATCGTGAAGTAGTATTTATTTTGTTACCTTCAAAAAGTCAAATTGTTTTTAGGTTTTTCGGCAGTTTTTATATCATTTGTTTTAGTGCCATCCGAGATAGGGGCCTTCCCTGCTAAAGAGATATGTAAATTTTTATAATGTGAAGAATTCGACGCCTTCAGGAATTGGACATCTTCAGCGTTCGATAAGTTTCATTTTGATATTATTTTACGCCTTCGTTTTTTAGCCTACTGACCCTACAATTTTTCAATCACCATGAATGCAATTTTTACTGCCTCTCTCGCATAGCCATGATGAAAACTGAAATTGTTTTCAGACGGAAATATGCAAAGTAGAGGGTGAATTTGAAAAGAACCGAAGTAGGGTGTATTTGTTGTTTTTGTTCGAACTCATCATTTTGCTATCATTTCCGTGTATTTTCGCTGGATGCATTTCTATTTCTGATACATGTATGCAGATACTACCCCTCCCAACTAATTCGTAGCTGAGATCATAAATTATAATTTAAAGCATTAATTTATGATCATCTCATGACAGTCTGGTATAATGGTCAAAATACTTTGACCTTTCTAGAGCAGAAATGGTTCTTTAAATGAAGGAGTGGAATTTTTTCACATTTTAAATTCAAATCTGCCAGCCCCTCCACCCCAAAAGTGGTTTCATATAAATGAGGACCATTAATGCTTCGAAATTCAAGTGATATTTGTTTTTTTTGAAGCTTCAAACTAAAGAAAACAAAAATAAATTTTTCGATAGTGCTAAAACAAATGATTTAGTTAGAATTGTTTTAATTTTTTTAATATTGATCTCTATTGGGCCAAACTATTAAGTTAGCTAATCTCGTGAAGTTTGGTGCTTCCATAACTTGTTCACTTAGTTTTCAGATTAGATTTTAGCTTATCTTCAAAATTAGACAGTTTAGGTTTAAGTGTTACGGCGACGTTTTTACTGAAACCGGATGTGTTAAAGTTTTTCACGTGCCCTTTCGTCATATTTTGTAAACCATTTCGCTAGCTCAAATTAAACTGAAGTGTGGTGTTATGTTCAACAGTGTTAAACGTATTGCTATTGGTAGCTTAGCTTTGTTAGCGAAAAGGGGGAACGCCGCGACAGAATATGGCCTCAAATTCCAACTGTGTTTTATAACACAAAGGGGTGGGGCTTGATGAAAATCCACACCCCCATTAGAATTATTTGGTGGCTGTAGTAAGCCTTAAATTTTGCCAACAACCACAATGCTATTTTAATCCCTCCCCCCTCGTGTATGGGATTTGCAAATAGGAATTCGCGCATACCGACTATTATACAAGATAATGCCACTGTATGTGATAGTAGCACGTAGCTCTTGTTATCTCAGCAAAATTTGCTAGTCGGTGGTCGTATTTTGCTAGCAATATTTGTCCCCCTCTGTTTTAATACGTCCCCCTAACCCCTTTTACAATACACACAAAGTCCCCCTCTCTTTGGCAATATAGCAAGCAAGCAAGCATAGCTCATTTATACCGTATACAACAATACTACTGCATACTACTGTTGGAAGAGCTACATTGGTTTGTGAACCAACCGCCCCTCTGTATTTTACATTACAAAATGGGGAAATGGAACCGAATCGAAATGTGCCTCAAAATGGGAGCTGCATATTATAATAGTATTTTACAGCTCTAGTCTCGAACGGGGAATTATAAAACCCCCTGTTGTGTTTTCCCTTCCCCCTTTCCCCGCTCTAATTCTAAATTCACTTTCCCATTGCACCCACCCATGCTATAGTTATTGCCGCTTTTCCTCCCTTTCTGCTGTTGTGTGTTCTGAACGCCCGAAAGCAAAACGAGATACTGAAAAATATACGACAATTTTACTTCACATTTAAACGTTTAAATTCTTCACGTAAGTTTAACGAGCAACGAAACGCACAACGCAACAAAGCGGAAAAATAAGGGGTGGGGTTGGAAAACTGCGTTGCAATAATTTCAAAACGTGAAACGGGAAACCATTTTGGCTTTCAAAGCTTTTGTTTCTTTCAAATTGTCTATTTTAGCCGTAAAGTTAGAAACTTACATCTCTTCCAAGTTTCAGGTTACTTTTGCGTGAAAGAAAGTCTATGTTTGGGATCTATTTTGAATCGTTATTTCCACATCAATTCAAATTGATGTCCTCATTGTAATTTCTTATGTTAGATCTTTCAATATTTCACACCCTTCAAAAAACATGAGCAATTGAAATCAAGTAGTTTTTAGTTTGGAATAGATGCTGCACATTTCGAATTTGATGCAAAACTTCCTTTATGACCTTGAACTTAACCTTTTCCTTTGAGTTTGACCTTTAACTTCCTTCAATTTATGATATTTGTTTGTACATTCGAAGCAAACAGAATCGATTCTCTGAAGTTTAAACAATCTAGAAGTCGAATCTTAGCAAATATATATTTTGGCTATTGTAATCAGTTTTTGAGTGTCGCTTAAATCATTTCCAGCTTCATAACATGGATGTTTACAACCTTATAACCTTATATTATGTGAAAGAAAATTTTATATTTGAGAATTAGAACATGAATGAATGCGTTCAATAACTTCATTTTTCAAATATCAATTTTCTCAAGTACGTAAAGCTGTACTTACGAAAAATTACTTCAGTGATTGTTTAAACTCACCTTCTTCATTCTGTTCATGCGCTCGGCTTCATATTCTGCCTTCGTTTTAGTCCTCGTCCATAGTCCCCCTCCAAACCAATAAGACAGAAAACTGTCCATAATTCCTCCCCCACCCGTCTGTTTACCATTGACACCTGAAGGCATCTCCTAGACGACCGGACGCCCAGTCGATAACACGATATTGGATTGTATTTTAGAGATACTTTACACACTTGAAGATTTTGCAGAGCCCAGCTGATAACGTGTGGTTGGAAAAAAAATTATTTACATATATTTTTATTTTGAAAAGATGCTGCGGTCCTGTAACTCGACACTTAAAAGGTAATATAATAACAATAATTGACCATATTTTCTAAACCAATTTTGGATAAAACATGATGAAAATTTGTGCTATTTTCTCACGTGCTGTTGTCAACTCTGTGGTTTTTTTGAGGACATTAATTTCTGAAAGGAAGTTTTTAATTTTATAATCTTTCCTTTCCTTGCACAAGGCACAACTCTCTTACTTCATCTTCGGTCGTCGGACCGAGTTAAAACTCTCCAAGCTATTGGGGGGGGGGGGGGGGGTCTAAAGTTTGATTTTCAGCCAATCAGAATCGCTTAACAAATCTCATCCAAGCTTAACTTGGTCTTTAGATATTTACTTGATCTCGGACCTGTTCTAAGTTCTATAACCCTTTGCGTAATCAATTTTGCCAATCTGTTCAGAACCAAAAAAAAATCTGTTGTTTTCTTGCATACAAATTGTAAAAACGGCTCTTTTTCCTTTCCCCCCCCCCCCCCCCACGTGCAAAATTTTTTTTGTTAAAATTATGTTCACTTTGTTCGATTGTTATGAAAATTATCGTACAGACTAATTAAGTTATGACAAACATTTTTGGTCTTCATAATTAACCTTGTAAAACCACCCGGTACACCATAAAATTCATGTTCGTGTGGGGGGGAGGAAAAAGAGCTGTTAAAACAAAATTGGGCTCTCTTCCAATCGCCCACTTTTCTTCCAATTCCCCCCCCCCCCCCCCCCCACTTCGCTAAAGCATGATGTTACTATGTAAGGTATGAAGAACAAATCTGTTCAAATTTGTTCACCATATTAGTTTTCATTGCATTCTGTCAATGTTAAATTAATTTTTCAAAAATGAAATTGAAAGGTGGGGTGGGGGTACAAAATAGCCCAAAATTGAGACAATTTGTTTAACGACTGAACGAGGGGGTCGGAAACTGGAAAAGCGCCGTACTGCTCCCTGTTTAAGTTGGAGAGATTTAGTTTGGAGTTGACTTGTGCACTTTTTTCATCCCATACCTATGAGTTAGAGGTCACTATTTTGACGCAATTGTGGCTCTTTTCCAATTTCCCACCCCTCTTGCAAAAGTAAAGCATAAAGTTGATTAAAAATTTATCATTCGTCAATTTGGATAAAAGAAAGGTTGAAAAAATTTCTTCACTTGTTCACGCTGACATGTTATACTGCTGTTAAGAACATCAAAAGTCATTTTAAATAGGCTTTCGTATATTGAATTTGAGAAAATGTCAAGGGGGGACTGAAAATTTTAAGCATTGGCCGCAATTTTAAGTCTTGGACTCAATTTTTCGACGCGTACCAGTAAAGTATAATAAAAAGTATCAAGTCACACAGCAAGTCTAGTCGTCTTAAAATCTTGACAGCCTTGCACGCTAACTGCTTGTTCTGGCCAATCTATCAGTTTTTGTTCAAACACTTATTTAGGAATTATGAATATCATTTAGAACAGAATTTTAAGTTTCCGCTAAACATAGGCCTCTGAATTTTTTTTACTATTAGAAAGAAAAAAATAAGTTGAGTCATAATCTTAAAAAAATCTGGTTCTATCTTTGAGTTTATGATTTATTGCCATGAAGCGAATCTTTAAGCTACCAACCTACCAAAATTAGCGGTTCGCCTTCCCGCTCCCCCTATGAGATACATTTGTTGAACCTGTTTTTTTACTTCAATGGAGTAATTATAAATGATTTCCCTACTATTTTTGATATTTTTTCTACTCTGAAATTCACTTAAAAGGCTTGTAGCAGCGCATAGTCAGTGAAAATTCAGGAAAATTCAAGAGGTAACGGGCATAAATAGAACGTTTTATTTCGCCCCTCTTAAGTTTAGTGGCTTATTTTGCCCACACACACACTCATTTGTCGATAACATCTTACGCACAAAAACCCTTATTAAATGTAGGGCGAAATGTCTGAGGGGTGAAATGTGCCACTAAATTTAAGAAGGGGAAATCTTAGAGAAGCAAAATATGCCACATTCAGGTTGATTCCATTATTTATATTATTATGTTTCAAATAATAATTTCTTCAAACATGTGACACATCAATTTAGAACATGTGTTTGTGTCTATTTCAGAAGTGCGATGGAACTGCTTGAATCGCAATGGCAAAGAGTAGGAGAAAGAGATAATCACGAGGAGTTGCAAGTGAAACTGGAACCAGAAGATGAGGCAGAGGCCCTGGATTTGAGGTGCCTGGATAGCTTCTGGTCCCAATGCTCTAGGGTATCATCGCCCCAATCTGTACCACTCGCTCCCGCCCGAAAAGTAAGCTCACCTTTGGGATATTTTTTATCAAAACATTGCAAGAATTGCAGAGAAAAGATTGCAGAAATTTATAAAACGAGAAAATCACCAGGCCACTTTGTTTTTCTATCACTGATAGGTCATTTTCTGAGATTTTTTCATGCTTTCAGTTTACGGATATGTGTAGAAAAGTTGAAAAACTCGTTATTATGTTTTGAAAATCCATCATTATTCCTTTTTGTGTAGATTCCAAAACATCAATTCAGTTCAGCATGCGAAGACGTTTTGGACGAAAACATCCTCGACCTCAGAAAAAAACCTGTGTTACCATCCCCTTTGAACTTAGCTGTCAACTACCTAGACCGATCCAACCTTGACCTTTCATGTCCAGACCTCACAATTAACCTATTCAGCCCCAGTTTCGGAAGCGAAGAAATTAGTCCCGAATTGTCCCCAGATAAATCGAAATCAGGTCCCACTTTCCCGAAATTCGGCAAAATGGTCGACGGTCGCAGAATTTGTCCAATGTGTCAAATGACATTTCGAAACAGCGACAAAGCAAGACGTCATTTTTTGTCCTTACATTCCGGAATGGGCCTGCAATGTGCAATATGCTGTGTAGTCATGACTCGAAGAGACAAGTTGAAAAATCATTTGATGAAGCAGCACTATTTAGCCCCAGACGTGGCCAAAATGTTCGCAGCTAATGCTAGTTTAATAGCAAAAGACAGCGACAGTGCTTTAAACAGTAAATACTTTAAATGAGGTGCTTGCAGCTAAACTGATTATTTTCTGAAAGTTAATGTTTCATTTTCTGTGGTTTTGGAATTTTCCAAATGTTGAATTAATTATAATTATATTTTTGTTCATAAATTTCGTATTGTATTAATTAGAAAATACACAAATCACATTTTTAGCCAGCAATTTTGAGCTTAATATTTTTATAAACTGCAACATCTTTCCTTGCATAGTCCCCCAAGGGACTTTAGATTCGGCATTTTTCGAAGTCAATTAAAAACATAATTTACCAGGCTGAATCAAATACCCCAAAGCCAAACATTACACTTTGAACACAATTTTTTCAAATTGTTAGTATTAGCAGTATCCACTTTTTCAAAGTATTCCTTGCTGCTTGAAATTAATATGCAACCATGTGTGTTTAGCTAGGCTCTGTCGCGTTGTGGTTGGTGTTCTAACTTTCGGAATAAATATTTGGCAGTAGTACAGGGATCTTTCAAACTGTCAAATAAAGTTCTTTTGTTTTCTGAGTGATTCGTTAAATTTCGCTAGTACGTAAGAAGTGCAACTTCATCTCTGTTGTTAGATTTTCCTCAAAATATATTCGACCTCAATTTCCGACAGTATTATGGTATCCATCCAATAGCTGATTGAAAATAAAAAAAGTTTGGTCTGGACATTACATTGTTTAAGTTATCCATATATGATGTTCCGAGCTCCGCTTTTTTCTTAGTTGACTTCGGAAGATTTTTTGCTATTCGTCATTTTTTAGCCCTGAATAACTAATGGAAATTTTTCAACGTGTTGGTTAAAAAAAACGTGATGGTCTAACTTTTTTGCGTTTTCAGACTAATTTACTTGATTAGAAAATACACAAATCACAATTTCAGTCAGCAATATAAAGCTAAATTCTGCTTTTTAACTACAAAATGTTTTCTTTCCATAGCCGCGCACTGAACTTTAGAATCGGCATTTTTCTCGTCATTTAAATAATAAAACACCAGGCTGAATCGAATACCCTTAAGTCAAACATTGCACTTCGAAGATAAAATTTTTTGAAATGGTAAGTGTAAGCTATAACCTCATTCTCAATGTATAATCCTTGCTACCTGAACTCATTATCCAAGCATGTGTGTTTAGGTAAGTTCTAAGGCGTCATGGTTAATATCCGATTTATCATATTAAATATCTGGCAGTAGTTAGGGAATCAATTTTCTATCCCGCCAAAAATGCGCTTTTTTCAAGCTATCAAATATATGTTTTTTTCTGAGTGATGTATTGTTTCTCGCTAGTATATATGAAGTGCAGCTTCATCTCTATGTAGTTAGTTTTTCATCAAATTATAGTTGTCCTCAGTTTACGAAAAAAATATTATATCTATACAACAGCTCTTTAAGATTCAAAAAACAGTCTGTTTTTACATTGCTTAAGTTAACTGTATGAGTTGTTAAGATCTCCGATGTTTTTTTAGTTAGCTTTGGAAGCATTTGTGATTAATTGTCAATTTTTGATCAAACTAACTAACGGATAAATTTCTCTAAATTTTTCAACGTAATGGCCTAAAAAACTTGATGGTCGAACGTTTTATTTTGCATTTTGATCTGCTTATTGAGATTTTGAAATCAGTTTGTTCTCAAAATTTTGTCCCTCCCTCAGCCTCAAAAAACGGAGAGTTTTTTGAGGCTGCATAAAAGTGCTCATTTCGTGGCTTCATTTTATTTTTTTTAAGTCTAGGCAATGTATTAGCATATGTTGTTGCTTTATTTTTGGCTAATGTTAGTTCCTGTTTAAAGAAACAGATGTTATGAAAATGTAGAAAAAAGTTATAGCCTCAAACAAGCCCAATGACCTTCCTAATCATCAGGTCGGAGTTTTTGCTGGATTATTGGTGGCTAGTGTTAGTAAAATTACTAGCGGTCGTGGAGCAGGTTTCAAAGTTGATGTTTTTTCTCAACGTGTTATCTAATCTTTTCTTTAGTTCACTTTGTTTTGCCTGTTTAGAGCTCTTTTTTGCATTTTTGTCGCTTGTGTCTAAAAAGCATAGCTTCGCATCAGTGTAAATTTTTGTTGTATCTGATTTTTGTTTAACATGGTGGTTGTGAAATTCGGTTGGATAAAATTTCGGTAATGTTTTCTCTTTTTATTTCATTCGGCTTAAAAGGGTTCAACTTATATCATATGACCTTAGTTGCATGATAGTGGGTCATTTGATGAGCGAATGTTTTTATGTTTTGATGTTTTAAGGGGGGTTTTAAAGAAATTTCCGAGTTTTTTTTAAAGAAAAACAGTTTTAGCTGCTCATGTCGGCATTAGAACCGCTTCGTATTTTCTGCTGAGATGCTAATTTAAAAGTGACAATTGCCTTAACTTGAAATGTGTTTCTGAAACTGAATCATGCATAATACGTTGAGGCATAAATAGGTAACTTTTTTGACATTTTTTTGCCTCACTTTGTGTCGGTTAATTTTTCATTCTATGTTTGTGTTATGCAGCAAGTTATTTGTTTCTCCGCTTCGCCTCTATGTAGTTGAGAAAAAGCTATTAAATGGAATATTGTCATAATTGCAAGAAACTGATAGCTCTTGCTATAACTAAGCCTATTTAGGAAAAAAGTATTGCTGCGATATATTATGATGACACAATGTATAGCCTCATCGGTCTGTCTTGTTACTGACTGATCTACATACTAAATCACAAACTTTAATCACGATTTAACCTAAGTCGTTTAAAAAAGTAAAAATGTTTGCACTTTTTCAGCTTGTGGCTTTTTCAGATTGTTAATTGAAATGTCTGTGGTAGCAATTGCATTATCAATGGCAGAACATTGGCTTTCTATGGAAAGCCACAATGAAGTTTTCCTTTACTTGACGGACGAGTTTCCCGTAAATTTGATTGGAACCATGATTATAAGGACGAAAATGGACGAGGATTTCGGTTTCATGAGTCCACTGAAACATGCAGCGAAAAGAAAAATGAACAGAATTTTCACAACTCATCAGAATAATGTAAGTTTAGATCCAATGTGATTTTGAGTGTCAGTTGAAAATAATAGTTTTTAAGCTGCTCTTTCGGTAGTTAAGTCTTAAACAAAAACTGTTCCCAATAAAAACGACCAAGCTTCTGAGCTTGATTTCTAAACTCTTATAGCCTTGAAACATCTATTTCTTTCAGAACCGAAAGTTATGCTTTAAAGCTAAGATTTTAGCTTTTTTAATCTCTTTTCTCGGCTTAAGTAAAATAATAATTAGAATATGCAATTACCTTAGTCAATCAAAATTGGGAGCTTACCAGCTAGAAGAATTCAAAATGTTAAGGGTCCCCTATTATCACGTATAATTTCACTAAAAGCTCTGTTTCTGCTCATTACAATTCTCAAAAAATGAATTATCTTTTCTGTTCAGGCACCGAAAGCTTCGCCTCAGGCCAACTCTGGATTTCCGAACATTCAGAGTCTAGTGCCCGTTAGAACTCATCCTGGAAGTATTTTACCACAATTCGGGAAAATGTCAGATGGTAGACCAATTTGCCCAGTGTGTAAAGCTGATTTTTGTGACATCACAAGAGCTAGAAGACATTTCCAGTCAAAACACTTGGGAATCGTTGTAAGGTGTGAAATTTGTGGATGTGACCAAAGAAGAAAAGACGCGTTGCGTGATCATCTCGTGAAGAAACATTCATTATCAGCAGATACTGCGAGAACAATTTCGAACAATGCGCAACAATTTTAACTCAAATTTTCAGAAGTCCAAGCGATGAGAACTACCCACAAGAAGCGCCTCATTAAAATGTTTTTATCGGCGCTGAGCATTTTGCTTTTTATAAGCAAACGTAGTTTTTTGGTATCAATTTTTATGTTGATTATTTAATCGAATCTGTTGGGTGTTGTATGTTCAGATATAGTTTAGTGATCAAATTTTTTTAAATTGTATGGATTCGAGTTGTTGATTTATGTGAAATAAATGCACTTACTATCTAGCATTGGAGCATGTTCAGCGGCAAAAAAGGATAATGAAAATCTTTGTTTTTGCTAAAAATTTCTCGATACATGACTGAGTTGCGATGTGAAACAAGCTGTTGATCGTTTACCTGACTTGTTAGTGTGTCAATTGTAGTTTGTTTGTTTTAGACACTATTGTTTTTGGTGTTAGGAAAAGCTGACAGTCGATTAAATGATGAATGCTGTTCCAAGACTGCAGAATTGAATCTATTTTTTGTTTGTTTGCATGCAGTTAAGCAAAAAATTGAAACCACTCTTGTGCAATAAACAAGCTAAGCTAAGGATCGAAATAAACTAACCTTTATCAGGGTCAAAATTTTGACTGCTTTATAAAGGAAAACAACGAATGTGATGTTTACTGCTCAATGCAAGCAACATCTTGTTATTTTCGAAAATTTTGTCTACCTTTTTTTTAGGTCAACCAATTTGATTTTTCAAGCTCTCCTAAATCACTGTTTTGTCTGTTTTTTGACGAAACTGCGCCGCAGGCAAAATTTTGAAAAAGAGGCCCAAAAAGCGTTTTTAGGCACTTTTTGGAAAATGACCAAAAATTTTTGAAAAAAAAGGCTGAAAAAAGCGTTTTTAGGCACTTTTTGGAAAATGTTGATCCCTTTGGGTCGGCAGGGGGTCGAATCCCTGAGGAAAGGCGTCCGTCTCCCCTCCGCCCCTGGTTGAGACTGATGATTTTTGGCTGATTGTTTTAAAGTTAACTAGATTGTTGTGTTTTGGAGATTTTATAGGTTTTTTCCTTGATCTCCGGCCTTTTTAGAAGTAATCACGATAGTTTTGACCAAATGTATTCGAAACGATGGTTTTTTTCATCTTTCGATTGTTTTCAGATCTTAAATTGCAATGTCTCTTGTAGAATTCTCAGTAACCTTGGAGGAAAAATGTCTTGCGATGTTAAGCGACGATGAATTTTGCGTATACCTGACGAACGAGTTTCCCTCAAACTTGATTGGAACCATGAATCTCAAAACGAAAGTGGGCGGTGATTATCTTCCAGTCGTTCTAGAGAAAGTGGCGGTGAAAAGGAGGGTGAACAACACGAATAGCTCTCCTCGTCAGAATAAGGTATGC